AAAGCCTTGGCAGCGGGCATGTGGAAGTAGGGTCTCCCCATCATAGGAGTTATAAAGAGGGTTGTATTCCTGTTTTGCACAAGAGCTCCAGCCCTTCAGGCCAACACCAGTAATGTTAGATGGTACAAGCTCAACACATCCTGCCTTATTTCCTGCACGTGGCAGGATATGTTAGTCCAGCTCCTTAAGTGCCTTAGGGATGCTGGGACTACAGGGGTAGGATCTCTGGATGCTCTTCCTGACTCTGCCTGTGATTCCTTCGGTGCTTTGGTTATGACTGTGTGTCTCAGCTTTCCCTTCTGCACCAGGAGGGCGTTAGCTGCCTATCTAGGGGGGTCACAAGGGTGAGTTGATATTTGTATTGTGCTGTGAGGAGTCAAGATCGGAGTTATTTCTCTGGTTCCGTAGATGGTTACCGAGCTTCCTGGCGAGTCATAGTCCTTGTCCCAAAGATAAATACACAGGGATACAATGCCAGGGAGAGAAAATTGCCAGGAGGAAAGGAGGAGAGCAGCACAGAGACATGGAAAGCTTTAAGAACAGATATATTAGGTTGAAATCTCCACCCAAGAGGAGGAGAGTGGAAAGATGTTTGTATTAAGTGTGCAGTATTTATACATAATTAAACTCCAACTAAAAGCTGGGATTGAGGCTTTGAGGATTCAGAGCCTGGCAGATGGGATGGGAGTGCCAAGGGAAGGATGAAGTTTATTTAAAATGCACAGTGAGTCATGCTTCAAAATGCCATGCAGTTAAGCTAGGCCTGCAGAGTGAGCAGGGATCAGGGCAGGAGGTAGAGCTCAGCACCAGGATTAGGAAGGGATTTAGAAGCCTCAAGAAGGAGCACAAAGCAAAAACAGCACTTGAGAGACCAGGTCTTTGAAGCCACTGCCCATCTGCTGGCTCCTGTTTCTGAGTCAGAGCAACGCTGGCTTTGAAGCAGCTGAGCAGATATAGGAGGGAAGGTGACGAAGAGCGGGAGTCCCCTGCACACAGTGATTTCCTTCTACGGACTTTTAGGAAATTAAAGCAAACTTTATTATGAAAGTGTCTCTAGTGGGTTATGGAATAGAGAAAGATCCCACACAATTTGCTGATTCATTTGATGCGCCTGGCTGGGGGAGTACTTGGTTGATTGCACGATTTCGCAATGATTGCACATTTAATTCATAGAACACAATTTTATTTTAAAATTCCTTGCTACGCATATAACACTGCTTAGCTTTAAGAAAAACCACAAACATTAAAAACACAATAACTACATATATTAGAAACAATGCTCCAAACGCACTTCCTTCTCAAACAATGCTATAAGAATTAGTATTACAAAAGCAACTACAATTACAAGTAAAGGTTAAATTGGAATCACTACTATTATTTCTCGTGGGATACTTACAGCCCTAGAATTCCGAGAAACCAAATCCCCAGGGATACTTTCATCCTTTAGTTATGGTTTTAGGGTTGGTCTCAGCAGTGATAGGAACAAGCCCTCCTCCTTTGGTCCCGCTCGGGGGCTCCGCGGCTTCAGCGTGAACGGGAGCTCTTGTTCACGGAGAGTGTGGTTCGGGTGATCAGCTGATCCGGCCTACACTTGCGATTCTTCCTTCGGTGTTCTGCAAGTGAGGTTACCTCCAAATTGGGACTGTAGGTTACAGTTTTTATTGGGTGAGTTGCCGTCTTGGGCCCCTCCTACACAAACCTGTCTCTACCCCAAATTTGGGCTCGGATCTTTTACCCAACAGATTCCTTTCCTGGGTCGTCTTTGGGAAATTTTCCACACCACCGCTGTGACCTCTCATGCCAACCCCCTTCCAAAAGGCCCTAGGTTTCGATCTCTCAGAACGTTTGCCCAAGGGTCACTTTTAGGTTAACTTTGTTAAAGGCCTCTAGAGATAAAATTCAAAAACCGAGACATTCAGCACGTTCACTGCAAGGCCTCTAACAATAAAATTCAGAATCAAGACATTCACCACATAGGCAAAAACAAGCAATGACCCTAGATAAAAAGATGAACCTTGCCTTTTTTTCTAAACTGGCTAATGGGTATTTATTACAAGCATTCAAACTATTACATTCAATATGACAGAAAGAAGAGAGGAGAAGGGGTGTGCTATGTAGCTGGGGCCTCTTCCCCTCAGGCTTATTTTTCTCTTAATGTGGAAATTAAAATACTGTATTGATTTCTGGAATTGCACAAAACCACTGAAAGCCCAAAAAAGGTTTCACTGGATAAATGTTAAACACGCAGAGAACAACAGTGCTAACCAGAAAAGAGCTGTGCACTACACAGACACCTCTGAGTATCTGGGAACCTTAAGAGATAAAATGCCTACTCACCTGAATCCTCATACCTGCCTTGTCTTGCTTATTTTTGTGCAATTATTGTGCATATTTACTGATGATAATACTCTTTTAAGAGCACCAGAGAGAAGTTTGTGCTCTGGTCCATATGATTCAGTACAGTGCCAAAAGCTGTGCACGATTCCTCAGCACTATTCCATATCCAGCAGGCAAGAGAGCATAGCTCAGCTTCTGTTGGTCAGTCAGCTCTGCCCACCGCAGCTGATTTGGGGGAGCTCCGTGTTTGTTATACACAAGCCATGGAATAGCCCTCCCACAGCAATGACTTGCCATCATGAACTTTTAAATCCCTGACTGGATTTGCCCTGCCATGTCTTGTGTTTTGCACTTTTTTCCGAGCCTCATCATCTGCAACGTTCCTGGCACCTTGGGCAATGGCAACAGTCTAAAGCTATCATCAAGGTCCACGTTTTCATGAGGGTTATCGACTTTGAGATAAAAATTAATGTTATCTTTTAATTTTTAACTTGCATTCCTCTATGAAAATGTATTTAAATGCCAGTTTAAGGAGTTGATTTGATCTGTTCTTGGCTTTCTGTGGGTTATTCTGTCTTGTAGGTTGTGAATAATTTATCCTTATGGCACATGGATTTGTGGGTGAGGGCAGTGAGGCTATTGTGGCTTCCCAGTTGGGTAGGGGTGAGGTGGTGCCTTGGTTAGCTAATCTGATTGCTGCCTCCCTCCCTCATAAATTTGCAGATGACACCAACCTCCACTAAAAGCATGCTTGCTGCACATCGACTTCGGAGCACCTTATCAAATAAAAATGGCTAAGCAAAAGCATAGGGCTTGCCTGAGTTGAATAGGAGTCAGGCCCCCAGAAGAGGCAAGGGTGCTACAGACAACAGCCTCATTCACTGTGCAACCTTAAATTCATCCCCACAGCACAATCGGTCCTGTGGTTGGGCAATATGGTACACAATGCTAAAGTGAATTGCCTAAAGTCGCATAGAAAGTGATTGTCCAAGCCTAGAGCTGGAACCGAGAGGTCCAGACTGCTCGTCTCCTGCTCTAAGCACAAAACCACGCTGCCATTTGCAACACAAGCAAAGTGGCAAAGTGAGACAGTATTTCAAAGCGTTATTGCGGTTCCCTGCGCTGAAGTCCCATACTGCGTGATCAGTCAGTGGCCTTCCTGATTGCTGTGGGATGATCCTGATGGTCACACGTCTGTTAAATGTTGTCACGTCTGGCATCATTGACTGTAATAGAATGAAGCAAAATTTTTGCTCTGTAGAAAGACATCAAAGCTCATAGTTTACAGCCCAGTGGTTCCCACCATTTTTTTTGCCGTGACCTGCTACTGGGAGCGGAGCGCGGTGGCAGCGGTGGTGGCGGAGCTCCCAGCACGCAGCGTGGATCACTGTTTGTCTGCAGCGCCCCCAGCATTGCCCCCGCGACCCTCATTTGGGTCGCGACCCGAGGTTGGCAACCACTGTTATAGCCCAGCAGACCTGGAGAGTTTTTGAGCCCTTGGATGCCACATACTGTTTCTATGTTTTGAAAGTTGCCAGAAGCCAGCCAGAGCTGCACGTGTCCCTGTCAGTTCTTCCATGTATATTTGGCAGCATGGTTCAATGCTCAGCAACACTGGTGTGGTTTCTTCATGTTATTATTGCGTTAACAGCAAAAGACAGGACAATTAGCAGATCATACAAGGAGTAGGAGGAAGTACAAATCAGGGAAAAAACAAACATGTTAACAAAAGAGGAGATAAGGAAATGGAAGCTGTCAACCATAACAAGCTGTTGCTATATCAGGTTTCAGCAGCAGAATCACTGTGACTCACTTAGCAATGGTGCATTTAAATAAGGTGGCCACAGCATGGTAACTGGTAGGTAAGGAAAAGTAGGCTGGGTGGCCCCACATCTCTAACCAAGTCACCTCTCAACTTCAGGCCACTACTTAGCCACAAAGCGGCTGAACTGCAAAGCAGTAATGCTGGGGAAGCAAAGTAACTCTGAATGTGAACTTGCCCAGTGATAGAACAGTGCAATGAGCTTATACGCATGGAGGCACTGGAGAGCGATGCTATTGCCACTCTCTGTTAGGTGACTTCTGCCTTATTTAAACAGCACAAATTCAGAAACGCACTAATAGACAATCGAGTCATCCTTTGTTTGGGGTGTTCCTTACCATCCTGAGATAGCTTCTGAATCAACCAACACCCATCAGGAAATATCTCTGATGACACCATTTTAGTCAAATGAGAGTCAGCAAAGACAGAATCACCCGTGTTGGATAATTCATTGAAATGTAAGACAAGGGATGGATTTTGCACTCGCTCTTGAGAACACAGAAGGTCTTGCCTGTCTCATCCTTCTCAGTCTAAGGCAGGAGCACTGCAGCCATGAGGGTCCAGGAAACATGCACAGTTGTATAGCTTAGGCTGCACTTGCTTCTTTCCCAGACCTGAAGAAGGCAACTTTGTGCCTGAAAGTTTGTCTAACATCTGTCCCAGGTATACAGTTGATTCAAGAAAAGATATCACCCCCAAAAAACCTTGATTTTGTGAATCTGCAATTCCAGACCTCCTTTAATTATGAACAGACTTTGCCCTTTGAGGTTGGAACCTCAAAGGCTTATAAAGTAGGGAGGAGCATATATTTAGGTATTGTGCAAAACAAAACCTTTGGCAAATTAAGTTGGAGCGTATAAAACACACACCTCGAAACAACTCGGACTACTTTCCAGGGAGTTTCAGCACAGTTGGGCTCTTGTTCAACATGGCTTCTCTAATATCTCTTCTTTCTGAGCCTACCCTTATTGGTCTGCTATGTGCTCTGTTTTTATTATTCATACTGCATGTTTCAATGGGCCCTAAAAAGTCAGCTTTAAATTTACCTCCTGGTCCATCTCCTCTTCCAATCATTGGTAACCTGCATTTACTGGACATTAGAAGGCAAGATTTGTCGCTAATGAAGGTAAGACACACGTTCTGATTTTCAGCATATTATGCTTTGAATGTAAAGGTTTACTGATTTAAAATTCTGCCTTTGGGTACCATTCCGAAGTGACTAACCAATACCAAAATTGTTTAGAAATATAATAAGTTTCAAAGGTTTCAGAATGCTCTGGTTATATTTTAGACCCAAGCTTTGCAAGAACTTTTACAGGTACTGAATTGTAAAGATCTACATGTCAGAACTACACATGTGCTTAAAATTCAAGACCTTGAAACCTTCATGCCTGTAGAAAATATTTTGCATTATTTATGTTACACTTAGAAAAAAAGACAATGAAGGATTTAAGCCTTCATTCTTTTGTTAAAGCAGTAGTACTTTTACTAAACTTAATCAGTAATACAGTAGAATTTGCTTTATGAGGAAAGCTCATCTTGCTTTATCAGGAGAATATGATAAAGGAAACCTATGAGTCTCATGAGATCAGAACTTAGTGCCCAGTTCTGACAGTTGTAATCAGGTTGCCCAGTACTTGACTCTAGAAGAGGTCGTCTAGCAATGTATGCAGTGACTTGTGAGGAGCTGTTCCTCGTGGCTAACAGCAGGACTGGACCTCCATCAGTTGTTCTTTCCATTGGTATGTGGATGCACAGCATTTTTGCTGATTGTTCACACTTTCACACCTGACATTTCCTTTTCATGCAAGTTCTTGTAGTACGGTAAGTATGGGAGCTTGTGAAGTTTTAATAGTGATTTGACAGCTGTGTTGCCAGAAGGCTTTTAAGGCATTAGCAAATAAATTACATGAGAAAGAAAATCCCTCCAATGGAGCAAAAGGATTTCTCCATGCAAGTTTCTGGGGGGGAAAAAAAACAATGACCCACATAACACCCTGAAGAGGCCATGCAACAAAAATGCTGTTTTTACCAAATGACTGAAAATATTATCCTGTGAGCTGCTTTTGTTAAACTGGAAATACAATCTGGAGCCCTGTCTGCAGCTTGGTTCTCCTGCACTAGTGAAGGACATACCACATTGGCGGAAGCGGATCCAGGATTTGCAAAGGGTGGCGCAGGAACAGTGATTGGCACTGCAGGGGTGGCTGGACCTCTTGCTCCCACTCTCTTCTCCCCCCCTTCCCACCTGGTGTGGGCAGACCTCACCATGAGAGCAGTAGTTGAGGACTTTTTTAAGTCCCCAAAGAAGGTAAAAAATGTTCCACCACCTTTCCTTACCTGCTCAGAGGCATGTCCTCTCCTCTCTCCTTCCTTCCTTCCCCAACTTGCCACTGCCAGTAACTCAGCCTGGGGCAGAGGTGATGGTGGGCAGCTGGCTTCCCCCTCCCTGCACCTGCTTCCTGGCTGCCTGGGGGACCAGGCTGGGAGGGGGCAAAGGGGGAATCTGTCCACTGCTGCTACTTAGATTATCCTGGGCTGAGCCCAGCTCTCACACAGCCAGGCTGGAGCAAGACAGGAGCTCCCTTTGTCCCCGGGACTGGGAGGAGACAAGGAAAGGAGGGGAGAGGCTTCTGAGCATGGAGGGGAAGGGAGAGGTGGAATACTTACCTTCTTTGGGGACTTAAAAAGGGCCCTGGCTGCTGCTGCTGGTCTTGCTACATGGTCAGAAAAGGGGGTGCAGCTCTGTCACTGTCCCCCCCTCTTCCCCCTGCCTGATCCACCCCTGCACACTGGCATAAGCTGTATCTATGCTACAAGCCTCCTCTGGTATACTGCACTAGTAGCCAGTGCCTCAGGCCTCGCATGATTTACATTTTCAGGATTTGGGTCTTCTCTCCCAGATTGTCTAAGACTCAGTTATGCTCTTGCATTCACTTGTTTCATTCCTTAGTTGCTTTGACGTAAAGCCCTGCAGTATTGAACTGTGAGCCTTACAGAGAGCTGTCACTATCTATTACTTCAAATTTAGCCAATGCAGATCAAGTCTTATGACTTACCAGCACCCATACACCCTGTTCTTGTATTCAGATGGCCTGAAAACTTCAGTATATCCCTAATAAACAACAGGTTATATTATTTTGGGCAATTTTTTGCCAACAATAATATTATCTCAAGAACCAATTATTTCTTATGTTTTCTTCACTGTATGCCAGATGATATTAAGCTCTTTGGGTTCACAGATTCACAGAAGTTTGGGGCTGGAAGGGACCTTGTGATATCGCCAGGTCCAACCCCCCTGCTTGGGCAGGAAAGACAACTGGGGTCAAACCACTCCAGCAAGGTGTGCATCCTGTCTCATTTTGAAGATCTCCAGGGTAGGTGCCTGCACCACCCCCTCTGGGAGTCTAGTCCAGAGCCTGGTCACATGAACCACGAAGAAGTTTTTTCTTATATCCAGTCTAAAACCTTCTTGCAGGAGTTTATGACCATTGCTCCTGGTTTTCCCTTGGGGCGCCTTGGTGAATAGTTGTTCGCCTCGCCCCAATGCTCACCCCTGATATATTTGTAAGCTGCCACCAAATCCCCCCGACATCTTCTCTTTTCCAGGCTGAACGGTCCCGTATCTGTCAGCCTTTCCTCGTATGGCTTGCTCTTCAGGCCTCTAACCATATGAGTGGCTCTTCTCTGGACTCTCTCAAGCCTCTCCACGTCCTCCTTGAAGTGCGGCACCCAGAACTGGACTCAGTACTCCAGCGGCGGCCTCACCAGTGCCCCGTAGAGTGGGAGAATACCTGCCTTACTTTTGCTTGAGATGCATCAGTTAATGAGAGCCAGTGTACTGTTTGCTCTCCTAACTGTAGCCTCACACGGGCGGCTCATATTCATGTTATGGTCAGAGTGAATTTTATCAGAGTGAAGGGTTAGAGTGGGTTATCAGAGTGACTTTTATATTTCATTTTTATAAGTAACCAGAGATCTGGCTTTCTTGCACCCTCTTGTGATACGCTGAGGTATTACAGGCCTATTAATTCAGCCGTGATTGTGTAACTGCCTTGTAGGCCTGCCATTGTAATCTGTATTGCAATTGTCTTGAATTTCAGCACACCAGATCATGTTATCCAGATTACACATCTCAGAATATGACTAGGTTTATGGAACTGTAGCGCTTAGACGGACCCGTGTTTGCCTGGTTTGAATGCTATTTTGCTAGAAAGTTTCAGGTCCTTTGGCCTAACTTCAGTGAGGTCTGAAATCAGTCCTTTCAGTAAAATATGGTATTCAACACAAGCTTCTCTTTCCAGATTGCAGAAAAATATGGCCCAGTGTTCACCGTCCATTTTGGTCTCCAGAAGGCTGTGGTGCTGACTGGCTATGAGGTGGTAAAAGAGGCTCTTCTGAATACGGCTGACGTATTTGCAGACAGACCTGCTATCCCGATATTCTATCATATCCAGAATGGAAATGGTACTGGCTGTATGAATGAAAGAGGAGATACTTGCTGTCTGACTTGTGATCGTGGTATTGCCTACCCCAAACATTTAAAAGTAATGGGCATCTATACACGTGCAAAGAGGCTGCTGGAGCGTGGTAATTAATTACTGTACTCCAACATCACATGTATCATTGTTCCCACACCGAAAAATGGCGGTGGGGCTGCTTTAACTAAAACCTGTCTGACAAGCTTTAGTTAAAGCAGCCCCACTGCCATTTTCCGGCATGGGGACACTGATACATGTAATGCTCCGGCCAATTTAATTAGAGCGGCTTACAGAGCTGTTCTAATTAAAGTGCCCCCTTGCCCCCACTCCTGGAGCACATCTATAAACACCCAATGAGTCAGTCCCAAAAACTCATGGGAGATTTAAATGCGGTGCACTTGGGTTTCTGGCATGTTACTGAGCTACACAGTGGATGTGTCTACACATCACACTACATCACCATAGCAATGCGCTACGGCTATGTGTGTGTCTGCACGTGACAGGCAGCTACTTCGCCGTAGCAGCACTTCCCCCATTATAGCACACCTTTATGGGGAAGTAGCGGCTAAAAATAACCATGCACCGTGCGTAGGGTGCAGTACAGGCAGTTACTGCATCATGCACCACTAAAGCACCGCTACTTTTGGAAGTAGTAAAGCACAGACAAGTAACAACATGGCCATAGGGCAACGTGTAGACATGCCCACTGAAAACTAAACTGGGGAACATAACAGGAAATGCTGGCAGAAGCAATCCTGCACCGAAAGAAAATGAATTTCTTAACATACAGATATTTTTCATTTCCAATATCAGTGATTCTATAATCATCCTATAAACCTGGTCCAGATGGGGCCCAGTGTTAGGAAGGGTCCAGTATTATATCACCTCCCCAAGGTGCATACCTAGGATGTCTTCAGTCCTTGAAGAAATGCAAAAATCTAGAACTCTTGGTTCAGAGATGATACCTTTTATTAGACCAACTAAGAAACTGCAAAAAAAAAAAAATTGTCTTTTTCAGCAAGCTTTTGGGCTTCCACGCCCTTCATCTGGTTCAGGGAAAATTAAAGATGGTATAAAGTCCCCATAGGTAGGAAATAAACTTCATTTTTGCACAGAAGGAGTTGAGGATGGAAGTCTGGTCCACCTTGGAAATGCAAGTTTCTCTGTGAGTTGCTCTTTGTTGTGGAGATCAGGCAGGATTACTTCCCTGTTGGTGTCAGATAGCATGCAGGGAGGTTTTAGAAGTCTTTCTTATTGTTCAGCAATGAAGTTTAAAATCCAAAATCCAGTCCTTGAAGCATGCCTTGGAAAAAGACACTTCTTGGGGTGAAATCAGAACAGCTCTCTGTTCCAGCAGCTGACAGTCCAGTTGTGTGCTCGGAGTGAGACCACAGGGAATAAGAGGCACAGTGCAGAAGGCCAATTGCTCATAACACGCTGTTACCCCACCCTCTGATTCCTGCAGCTTCCCACAAAATCCCATTTCTTAACAACGTTGCTGTCCAGGTCCACATCCAAGAAAAACAGAAAGTTTACTCTTATCGAGACAAACCTTTTTCATACCTCTACATTAATGTACTCATCCTCTTTGTGGTGTGTGAAATATTTTAGCTAACCAGGCTATATTATCAACATTAGTGGGGCATTCCTGCTGACTATAGTCCAATAACGCACATGTTCCCTCTGCCAGGGGTGTTCTTTTCTTCTGGAGAGCTCTGGAAGACGACTCGTAGGTTCACCATGGCCACTATGCGGGACCTGGGGATGGGGAAAAAACTGATAGAAGGAAGAATTCTGGAAGAGCTTCATTTCCTCATTGAGATGATCAAATCCTTCAACAGTGAGTTGAGTATTTGAAGATTATAAGGGTGAAGACAGATGTAACCACTGTATTAATATCATAGGATATGTATATAAGCTGCTTTCCTAATACTGCTACATCTAATTCTATAGTGACACAAGTGCAGCAAAACTGCTCCAACTTTAACCCTATTACATTCAAGTCAAAAGATTTAGCTAATTTCTAGCATTACAGAATCAGGCAGAAGTAACGGATCATAACTGTGGGTGCTCGCTCCTGAGCAGCAGATCTCCTTCCCCCTTTAAAACAGTTACAAGGTACATTTGTCTATACCCAAAGTCTCTATAGTTTTTTTTATTGCTTTCCTGCAGAGCTGTATCAACCTCTGCTTTTCCCAACTGTTGAATGACAAGTATGTTTTTGCTTTTGTTTGCTTTAGGTGAACCTTTCAAGTTAAGGTCATTTAATACTGCTCCCACCAACATCACCTTTGCTATGCTGTTTGGGAACAGATTCGATTATAAAGACCCGGTATTTGTCAACCTGTTAAAACTCATAGATGAAGTTATGATTCTTCTTGGATCTCCATACTTGCATGTAGGTTGCTCTTCCATTTGATGATTATTTTCTTATGGCTTTCAGGACTAGTGAGTCAAATGGACTTTGATCACTGAGGGTTTCTTTGAGACTTGCAGATATTGAAACATGTTTTTTTGTTTGGGTTTTCTTTTCCTCGTTCCTGAAACACAACTGCAAAGAACTGCTTCAGTATAGTTGATGGAAAACACTATGTGGTAGCCATAGTATATGAGGCTAACCTGACCTCTGCAGCAGAAAGTTGGAAACCGCCTCAACCTAAAAGGAAAGTGCTTAGTTCTTTTGCACATTATAACCAAAGTATTTTAGCTCCCCATCTGATCATCAGATCCAGGTGGACAGTTTCCATGAAGTTCAGTGAACTCCACCAAGGTGCAAGGGGCTCTGTTGCTCCTCTCAGTATAATCCACCCACACACAACTGAATACAGGATTCGAGTCTATATTCATGTGAGCTGCAAAAAGAGAGACAAATGATTTCCAGTTAGTGTAAAGCTAATTCTAGCAAATGGAATCGCCCGATCTGACTCAGAGATTCAGATCTTTACTTGGGTTTTCTTCTTGTTGCAACACATGCCAAGGAAATGTTCTTGCTCCCTGTTTCCCAAAAATTAGTTTAAGGCTTTGGCAGACAGTTCTGTGGGATTCTGCCAAACTTATTTTTATTATTATCACTACAGTTATCTGTGAAATGCTGGCAATACACTAAGCTTTTTGAAACTGTTTAGTTGGTCTAATAAAAGATATTGCCTCTACCCAAAGAATTCATCTGCCTCTGTGCTTAGACCACCATGGCTACAGCCTAGATCCCTGACAATGCCCTAGGCATTGTATAGGACACAAAATACCAAGGGTCTCTATCCTCAAAATATTTATAGTCAAAACAAGTCTTAGAAGAGAGGGGCTTCAATGGGAAGCCTATGGGGTGGGTGGGGAATCAGGATTTTTTCTTGATGGGAGGATAACACTATTCGTAAGGCTGTTGACATGACTGGCTTGCTTTTTGTAGGGTCCCTGTAAACCCTACAAAAGTAAATAGCTCTTTGCTTAAGTAGGTGTGAGTGACCCTAAAAGTAACTGTTTTTCTAACCTTAGTTATTGGGTCAATTCAGTATGTATTTAGAAGTTACTAGAATTTGGTACTTCAATGCCACTACCGAAGAGCTCTGGGTAGCGAGTGCTATAACAGCCCCTGCTTTTGGTGCTGCCAATGCTTATTATCTGGGCATTGCAATCAAGTAGGACATTAGGATGGATGTGATAAACTGAGCAGCAGAGGAAAAACAGTCCATCTGGGCTTAACTAAATCTTTCAGCTGTAATCAAGCAGCTCTTGTCATGTCTGAGGCTTTGTTTTGAGGCTAGAGGAAACAGTTCACATCTTTGATACTGAGTGCCAAGACAGTCTTCTAAATGGCTGTTTTAGCCAGGCATCTTTGCCAGTACATTTATTCAGTGGATCAAAACTCTGAGCAGCAAAAACAAAAGACTTAGAAACTTCTCTTTCTATTTGATTTGCTTTTTTTTTTAATGCAAGCTTAGAAACTGGAGCAAACAGCAGCAATAATAACCAGTGAGCAAAAGGTAGATCATGAGATTTGCAGTTGTTATTTTGAGCCTGCTTTCTTTGTTATAGCAATATGGTGTAAGTAACCCCCCACACACACATATATAAAACAAAACTGTTTATTGTGCTGTGAAATTTAATGTTGCTGAGTAACTGAGTGTAATTGATTTATAATTCATGTGAAACTTAAAAATGATGATCTAACAACTTTAAAACATAAGTATTTTGGTTCTTTAAATGTTTCAGGGGATTTTTCCCCTAAAGTGTGATGCTTTATCTTTTTGTTTTATTACCTCTCTTAAAATGTAATTTCATTGTTTCACCAGTTTACTATCACTTTCCCTTAATTGTATTTTTTAATTCATGTTTATAGTCTATGTCTAGACAAGTCTGATAGGCTCCATTCATTTCTCTAGAGATTCTTTAATAAGAGGAGATACTTTATACATTAGAAGTTAGAGTTAACAGCAGGGACCAAACTCTAGTAATGTATCACTTGGCTACCCATATAGATAGCTTCTCCGTTGTAACACTTTGGTTTTACTATATAATTAGCACATCTAATTTTTGTTTTAATCTTTTCCAGTTATTTAATTTCTACCCATTCCTTGGATTTCTTTTCAAACCTCACAAGATGATCTTAAGAAAAGTAGAAGAGGTATGCATGGTCTTGAGGAAATACATCAAGACAAGCAGGAAAGACGTTGATGAAAATAACTTAAGGAGCTACATTGACGCATTATTATTCAAACAGCAAGAGGTAGTTTAGTTTAGTGACCCTCTGGGTAACTCGCTCTTGAATCTGTCTGACGAAGTTACACTTGAAAATAACTAAAAGTTACTAACCTTTCCTTCTTTCCCAGCAGAGATCTGGGAAAAGCAAGACAGTAAATATCTTGGCTCCCAGAATTAGCTCTGCCACATGACATTAATGTGCAGAACTTGTCCTCAAGTGGTGACATTGTTGTCTTCGTTACTGCAGAGGCAGAAGCAGCATGTGTCATTTTCTCCAGGCGCTTGGAGACAGCTACGTGCTGTCGTCTGCAGTTATCAGTGTCCTCATTGCTGTTGTACTTGCTGGGAATTACTGATGTGCTGTCACTGTTGAAGTCCCAGGAACTGTGGTGCCAGCAAAGTCGCAGGCAGGAGATCCCAACACTAATCTTATAAAGAATGACCCCAGGCTCAATTTGGTCAGGCTTATTGTCTACAAGCACAGCCCTAACACGTTTTGGCCTAACAAATGTATCAGACTAGGAGCTAAGGCATTTGTACCTCTGACAAAGGTAGTCGGCACACCACCATGCAGGGTCCCCCAGACCTCTACAAAGCTTTCCCTGCTTTCCAATTCTCCTTTTATACAATGATCAAAACAAATTGCAATACGTGTTGCGTTCCATCTGTATCTTGAATGTGTCAGACCATCCTGTACTGTGGGCTTGTTTCTTATTTTGACCACAGTGTTCCCATTCCAGCCTTATCATCCTGGTACTGGACTATCCTACCTCGTACCATCAGGTCGTCTTCCCATCTCTGGTCAGGAGTGCACATCTGGCCCGCATGCCAAGTTTTGTTTATGTGAGGAGTTCATGCAGCGGTTTGCTAGGGAGGCCTCCCTGGCCAATGCTTTAGTGAAGCCTTTAGTGAGCAACCTATATTAACCAATGCTCCCGTGAGGTTTGTGTGTGCCTCACTAAGGACACTGGAATGGTAATCAGTTTACTACGGGGAGATGAAGGAGCCCAGCTGTACTGCACATGAGAACGTGCACTTGGTGCTTGTACCAGAAGAAGAGGATTGTCTGAGAAGACCATGAGAGTCAAACCCCTCAATTATTGCCCAGGAATGAAAAGCAGAGATCAGCAGAACTGAAATATCTATAGTGACCAGTAGTCATTACACTGCTCCATGTCACCTCTGAGAACTTCCTCGGGGAGCAGCAAGAATACGATCGAGGCCCTCTTGCCTTGAAAAGCTACAAGCCCCTAAGCTGCTTGTACAAAGCAAGAAACCCCTTTAGATGACAAGGCCGATGACACACATCACTCCTCAGCTCTTTTTCAGTAGGCGGCAGATGTACCCCTCCGCTTTCTGCCAACCCGTTCACTAACCCCTACTCCCCATCACCGCTTACATTGCAGGTCCTGCCTAATATTCTTTATCCTGACCCCTGCCATCCCTGGCATCAACGGTGACAACAAAAAGCCCTCTTATAGGGTCTTTAGAGACAGAGCTGAGGCAGCCAGCCATGGCTGGTACAACAGCTGGATAGTGTTAGGACAGAGAATTTGATGTGCATGTCAGATGTGGTTGAACGATTAGCAGTGTTTTTTGTTCAGATGAAAATGTTGCTCTCTTGGCAAAAACACGAAGGCCACAATATTTTGGCTGAAAACCAAAACGTTTAAGTTCTGAAGTGCCACCAGATGGAAAATCTGCTGTAGTTCACATGCCCCCTGCTCCCATCTGCCTCCACAGGCCATGATCCCCAGTTGGTTGACATTGCCTAAAATGCTGAAGAGGGCCATGGTGCAGGAGAGAAAATGATCCATTTCCCATGATTATATGACCCCAGTTCCATCTGGCCACATAAATGCACTTGCTCACTCACAGTGCCACTTTCTGCCTCTTTGCACTAATGTCAGTTGATTTTACTTCAAGGAGAAGAACAAAAGCAATTCTCTTTTTCATGATGCCAATGTCCTGGCATCCACCCTCGACCTGGTGATGGCTGGAACAGAGACCACTTCAACAACGCTGCAATGGGCCATCTTGCTGATGATGAAATACCCAGAGATTCAAGGTGATCCACAATTTGGATTTGTTCCTTGACATCTGCTTAACCTTGTTTAAAAAAAAAAGGATGGCAATAAGTTTGATATGGAGATATGACTAATGCTACTTAACCACAGAATCTCTCTCATGTCTTATAGGTACTACTCACATATGCTTCACCTAAGTGCATGAGACATTCCTGTCTGGCGTATGGTTTTATACTGCGATCTCTCTTTGAGTTTTTGCATGTCCATCTGGATCCAGTCTTCTAATCCAGCCATAATCATAGCTGGGTTAGAGATGCAGGCTAGTAGGTTAGGCACAGGGCTGGGGCTTAGGAGATCTGAGTTCAAGTCCTACCTCTGCTGCAGCTTTTCTGTGTGACTGAGCAAATCACTGCAGCTCTTTGTACCTCAGTTGCTCTACTGTAAAATGTGAATAATTGTTCTCGTCTGCCTTGCCCTTGCAGAATGCAAGCTATTTGGGGAGGGGCTTTCTTTCATCATGTATTTGTACAACTTACACGAGCCAGGAGACCTTCAGTTGCCCTCATAACATAAAGAATATATCATCACAATTATTACAGCCAGTGTTAATTGGTAAATGGGGAATTGTAAAGGAGATTGTCTTTGCAGTTCAAAAGCCACCAATGGGGAAACTGAACATGCTTCTGTGCAAGGTACCCAAAGCAATATTGTGAAACTATTCTTAAAACCAGAGACCTGCATTTCACTTTATTCCTACCTTGCCATAGGAAAGGTGTATGCCGAGATTGACAGAGTTATTGAACCGGGATGCTTACCCACCTTTGAGGCCCGGAAGAACATGCCGTTCACAAATGCTGTGATACACGAAGTGCAAAGATTTGTTACTCTCCTACCACACGTTCCACGGTGCACGTCTGTTAACACCAACTTTAAAGGCTACTTCATTCCCAAGGTATGCTACTATCTTTGGGAAACAATTTGGGATCTCCGTTTTGATACTGCCTACCTTCTCTCCAATCAGTGCCCATGAGAGGATGGGCTTACTTTTGAGAGTCACCTGGCTGCGGCTTCATTTCCTTAGGCAATGTCTACAGCCTGCCTGCTCCATGTATCCCATATAACCTTGGGTTTTGCATAGCTCCCAGCTCCATCCCATGTAAGCCTCTCTGGGGGGCTCTGCAAATCTTAAAGCATAGAATCATGGGGCTGGACGGGCACCAATGCAAGGTGCACTGTTCCTACACCATCCCAGTCCAATGCCCATCCAGCCTCTCCTTGAATATCCCCAATGAAAGAGCTTCTCCAACCTCCATGGGCAGCTTCTCCATGGTCTGACAGCTCTAACAGTTGTGAAGTTCTTCCTAGGATCTAATCCCATTTTAAATCCATTTCTTTGTGTTCTCCCCTCTGCATCAGGAGACAACAGGTGCTCTCTCTCTTCTTAATGGAGGAGCCCATTTCCCCCAGCCTGGACATCACAGCAGGACAGGGTGATCTGCTGCCATTGCTAATGCAGAATTTGTTTGTGTCCCCCAGGGTACAACTGTGATCCCTTTGCTCACCTCTGTGCTGCTGGATAAAACTCAGTGGGAAACACCGTATCAGTTTAACCCCAATCACTTCCTGGATGCTGATGGACAGTTTGTTAAGAAAGATGCTTTCCTGCCCTTCTCCACAGGTAACTAAGGGGCCTTTCCTGCAGGCAAGTCGGGTGCTCTGCCCCCCTCAGGATCAGGCTCTGTGTTAGAAAGATCCATGTAGCTATATTAGGAATAGATTAGTGATGCTGGCAGCAGGTTCTGGTAAGAGTTACAGATCCCAATCCCATGCCTATTCAGTGATGTCAGTGAGAGCTGTAGGGCTCAGCACTTCTGAACATCAGGCCTCTTTTACTCACAATGTGCACCTCAGGGATTAGGATGATCCACTTGAGAAACCCAGTGTGGTCCCCTGCTCCACCACACACTTCTTATGGAACCATGGGCAAGTTGCTGTGTGCATCTACACAAGGCAAGTTTAATGCACAGTAAAGCATCAGCATCTACACATGTACAGCAATTACTGTGCAGTAGATTAATAAAATGAACCATTTTCTAGTACCTGTAGATATATGTACTAGAAATTGGTGCATTAAACTAATGCACTGAAGCAAATTGCTCCCTGTCAGCCTAGGCAGCAAGGGACCATAGGGGGTGGGGAGAGCTGTCCTGGCTCAGTGGGATGCTGCCTCCCAGCTATGTGGAGATCAGGACCCATCCTAATCTCCACATGAATAAGGGGCAGCTGCCTGGCAGCTGGGACAGCTCTCCCCTGCCCAGCAGAGATCGGGACCAGCCGCCATGCTCCCTGCCAGCCCAGGGATGGTACCCAGGGGAGCCTGGAGCTCCCCCTGGCTGCTGTAGTGGGGCAGAGCAGCACAGGAGCAGCGTTGGACTGAACTGCTCCTATCTGGAGCAAATTTGCTCCTGGTGGCTACATGTTCAGATGTGTGCAGGGACACAGTTTAACATGCCTGATTTTTTTGTGCGCAAAATTCAGGCACATAAATTTCACATGTAGACACACCCACTATGTCTGAATTCCCCAAGCTATAATGCAGGTATGAGTAGCTTAGCTCCTAGAGACATCAGGATGCCAGCTATCTGATTATGAAGCACTCAGCCATTTCATTCTCTTATATAGACAACTGTGCAAATATAGATTTAGGACCCTAACTTCAAAACCAAAGTTCAAAAACATCAGCCTGCATTTACCCACCATTAATCAGTTTATACAGTAGAAATCACATGGCTGTTGCTCTGATTTCAGTTGTTCACTCCTGCTTTCTTTGGAATCCGTGGCAGACTCCTCCTGACAGGGCAGGGGATGCTGACACCCCAGAAGCACAGCCAGGATGCACAGGCAACGCCCTGTGGCTGCAATATTCCATGTGATTTTGTAATGACCTTGGAGTAGTTTGTTGGCTGTGCTGATGAGATAACAGGGTCTTTGCTACCACATCATTGCTACCACAGAAGCATGCCCTTACTGAAGCAGTAGTTTGTGTCACTGCCTATGTCTCTCCTCACCACCCTCCTGTGTTAAAGGCTCTGCTTTTGTCATTGCAGGACGTAGGAACTGCATCGGGGAAAGTCTGGCCAAGATGGAGCTCTTCCTGTTCTTCACAGGCTTGCTCCAGAAATTTAGATTTCACCCCCCAGCTGGGGTCACTGAATCTGATCTGGACACTGTCGCAGAGGCTGGATTCACCATGCGACCCCGTCCACAGTCAGCTTGTGCTGTTCTGCGACAATAAACAGAAGATGCTTCAAAATAACCTGCCTGACTAACCTGGTTTTCTTTTATGATCAGGTAACAAAGTGCCTGGATGAGGGCGTCGAGGTGGATGTCGTCCTCCTGGACTTTAAGAAGGCCTTTGACACTGTTTCCCACCACATTCTCTCAAAAAAAATAGGTGACTGTGGCATTGATGCCTACAGTCAGGTGGGTGGCAAATTGGCTGGAGGGCCACACCCAGAGAGTGAGTGTGGACGGGTTGTTTTCAACCTGGAGGGATGTGGGCAGTGGAGTCCCCCAGGGCTCAGTCTTGGGGCCTGTACTGTTCAACATCTTCATCAGTGATCTGGATGTGGATGTGGAAAGCACGCTGTCCAAATTCGTTGACAACAGCAAGCTGTGGGGCGAGGTGGGCACGCTGGAGGGGAGGTACAGAATCCAGCTAGATCTAGACGGGTTACAGAGGTGGGTGGATGAGAATAGGATGCAGTTCAACACAGACAGGTGCAAGGTGCTGCATCTAGGGAGAAGGAACCAGCAACACACCTATAGGCTGGGGAACTCCATTCTTGTCAACACGGTGGCAGAAAGGGATCTTGGAGTCATTGTTGACTCCAGGATGAACATGAGTCGCCAATGCGAGGAAGCAGTCAGCACCTTGTTGTACATCTACAGATGCATCACAAGCAGGTACATGGAGGTGATCCTTCCTCTCTATGTGGCATTGGTCAGACTGCAGTTGAAGTACTGCGTCTAGTTCTGGGCGCCACAGTTCAAGAGGGATGTGGTCAGCATAGAAAGGGTCCAGAGGAGGGCCACCAGCATGGTCAAGGGGCTGCAGGGCAGGCCCTACGAAGAGAGGCTGAAAGGCTTGACTCTATTCAGCCTCCACAAGAGAAGGCTGAGAGGGGATCTGGTGGCCATTTACAAACTCACTGAGGGGACCAGTGGGAATTGGGGGAGGCTCTGTTCCCCCAGGCACCACCCGGGGTTACTAGGAATAACTACCACAAATCGCTACAGGGAAGGTTCAGGCTGGACATCCGGAGACATTACTTTACAGTTAGGGCTGCCAGGTTCTGGAATGGGCTCCCAAAGGAGCTGGTGCTCTCTCCTACCTCGGGGGTCTTCAAGAGGAGGCTGGACCGATATTTGACTGGGGTGATATGACCCCAACACCCATTCCTGCCCAGGGCAGGGGGTGGGACCTGATGATCTGTTTAGGTCCCTTCGGACCCTAAGCACTATGATACTATAAATAAATATAATTCCCTTATTTTAGGGCATAGAGGTCATTCCCTGTGGAAGTGCAAAAGGGAAATCAGGCCCTAGGTCAGGGGTGGGCAAAACACGGCCTGCAGGCAGGATCCATCCCACCAAGCACTTCCCTCCGGCCCGCGGAGCCCCTTCAAAACCCAGGTAATGGCGGCTGCCTCTCTAAAAGCCTCCAGCGGGACCAGCCGCCGGCTGCAGAACCTCAGGCTGTTTCCTTAGGTTCTGGCTGCAAGGCAACCAACCCTGACCTCAGCCTGCCCCAGCTGGCCTCGCCCCACCCCTGACTCAGGCCACGTTTGCACCTTGAGAGGGGCAGGAGGGGCTGGGCCACAATGTGTGGCACTGGTGAGGGGCAGGAGGAGCTGGGCCAGCTTCTACTTTGCTGCATGGCACTAGAAAGGGCCCTGCCCTGAAGGTAAGCCCAGGAAAGCGGCTGCTGGGCAGGCTTTCCCCATGCCATGCCGTGCCACTCAGGCTGTGTGGGGTCGGGCTTGGGCTGTGCAAGAGGTGGCGGCAGAGCCATGTGCCGCTTGGGACAGGATGGGATGAGTCCGCCTGTAGTGGCAGGGGCTCAGCTGCACTTTCCCCCCTGCCTGAGCCGGTCAGTCCCAAGCAGCACACAGCTCCACTGCCGCTTCTGCTGGCCAGTGCCAACCCAGCCAGGCTCCTCCCGTCCCCAGCAGCACATGGGAAGCCAGCCTCAGCTGCATGGTCTTTTCCTGGCCGGTGCTGACCCAGCTGGGCCCGTCCCATCCGGAGCAGCATGCAGCTGAAGCCGACTTCCCACATGCCGCTGGGGACTGGGTGAGCCCGGCTGGGTCGGCACTGGCCAGCAGAAGCAGCAGTGGAGCCTCCTGCCTTTTGGGACCAGCTGGCGCAGGTAGGGGGAAAGTGCAGCAGCACGTGGGGAAGCCGCTGCTTGAAAGGGGACGGGATGGGCTGGCCAGGCCGCACCAGGGAGGAAAGATGTGGCTGAACCCCCTGCAGCTCAGGACGGGAGGGGTCCCACAGCACTGGAGGGGGCTGTGCCAGTGACAGGATCTGGACCTGGGCTGGCTTCTGCTGTGCCACAGGGCGGGGGGGCAGGCAGGGATGGGTCAGGACAGATTCTGGGTCAGATATGGTGAGCGGGATAGTTTGGTGTTGGGTGGGTGAGTCTTATGACACAGACCACATGACAGGGTGTAACTTTTGGTTTCAAGGCCACCACTCCAAAAGGAGTACTTCTAGGGGCAAGGGGAGGGACTTCCGTGGCAAAGGCCAGGGGTTAGGGGGCGGGACTTCCAGTCCCAAGGTGGCGACCAGGGGGTGGGGCAATTGAAGGGGCGGGGCTACCCATGCGACCCTCGACAGCTCACCATAACTCATCAAGCAGCCCTCCACCTGAAATAATTGCCGGCCCCTGCCCTAGGTGAATATTTTTCACTCTCTGTCTCTCTGCACACACATGGCTGGCAGTACAGGCAGAGTGGCGGGAGCAGCTCTGGCAGCTGCACCTTGCATCCTGCTTCAAACAGGACTCAGGAGCTGTTCTGCAAGTTAGTCTAGAGGATAAGAGATATGGGACGGGGTTGAAGGGCCAGGGCTCAGGGACCATACCTATGCCATTGAGGCCAGAGGCCAAGCTCTGGTGAGCCCAAACTGGCCCTGCATCATCGGGGGGGCTCCCCTGACAGCATGGGAGCAGTCTGGGCATGCCAAGCTTGGTGCCCAGCCTGGCCCCAATTGTGCAGAGCTGGTTCGGGCACTCCAGAGCTTGGTGCATGGTCTCAATAGCATGGGGCTGATCTGGACACACCAGAGACTGGCACATGGCCCTGATGGCTTAGGGCTGATCCAGACATGGCAGAGGCTGGTGCACAGCCCCAGTGGCACAGGGCAGATCCGAGCACATCAGAGTACCTGCCCTGAACCTGCTGCGTACCGCCAGAACCTTTACATTGGCCTCCCCAACTATCAACAGTTACCAGCCACCTATATCTGGGTGGGCTCCAACACTATCTTCTTGTTGTCACCCTTTCCCAGAAGCCAGGACCTCAGAGTCAGGCTGCTCTAGGCCCTTGAGACCAGTGCTGACTCCATGCCAAGACATCGTTGTTATTTAAGCAGTCTTTTCCCATGGCTCCAGCTTTGGATGCTTCAAGGCACAGTTCACTTTTCCAGGAATACGCAGCAGGAGAAGCCAAGAGACATATCAGCCTTGGAAAATGGAGTCCAAAACGCTTACTCGTTACCCTAGAGGCCTAGATCACACAGGAGATACGCAGATCCAGACAGGAAGACAGTGCAACACCCACACCTTCCCTGCCTCGCTGTCCTCATCACTCAGCATTCCAGTGAAAACCCTTTGGGGCATCCAGGGACCTCCCCTCTTGTCCTTTACAGCTGTGCTTTCTGCTTCTGGTCTCTCCTGTGTCTCTCTGTAATGGCCAGTGGGGAAGCTTATCGTCCTGTCCAGTCCCCTCCTGGGGTTGGCCTGAGTAAGGACTGTCACCTGGGCCTCTCCGCTAGTAAAAGCGTTGGTAGAATATTGGCGCCATCTTGTGGCCCAAGGTGGAGTCCTAGATAAACGGTACTCGACTGAAACGTGTTACGTTCATTGTGGGGTCTGAGCACCTCAGCGACGCATTTTGCAGGAGGAAGTGAGAATTAGATGGACTCGACTGAGGGCGGAGAAAATATTTATACCCACGTTAAAACCCTGTGAGTCAACATTATCTGTCAAGCAAATCTGAAGCGGAGTCACAGTTGATGTTCTCCCCATCATTCCTGCCCCTGGGGCGGGGGGCTGGACTTGATGATCTTCGAGGTCCCTTCCAGCCCTAATGTCTATGAAATCTATGGATGAACAAATGCCTGGGCTGAGTCCCTTCTGCTCCTGCCAAGCGGTCTCCCCCTCCGTGCTTCTCCAGCACTCAGGAGGTTGTGTTTCACCCATATGCTGACGCAGGAACAAGTAGGAGAAGTGTGATGCAAGTTTTCAAATGTGTAAGCAGGAAAGCTGGTTCTCTGCCCCTGACATTTGCAGCGGATGGTTGGCTCTTGTTAATATCCCGTCTCGGGGACTTCGGCTGCATTTGCCTTGTGTAATCTGCAACGTTTTGACAAACAGCTGATCTCACCAGACTCCTCTCTCTTCACCAGAAGGTACGAGTGTGGGAGGTGATGCCTGGGGGCAGCAGGATATGAACACTGTGATTCAGGAGAGAAGAGGAATCATCTTTTCACTTTCCAAACCAAGATTCTCAACAAACTTGACAAAACGTGAATGGATTAAGACCCTGTATGGCACGGATGGGAGATATGAACCAGGGACCTTTCAGTTCCCGTATCCACCCAGTGAATAACTGGATGTAGGGCGTAGGGCTCTTGACTCCCCCTTTCTCTAGACTGTTGTCTCTTCCCTCAAACCCTGCAGATCCCTAGATGAGCATCAGTTGGAGATGGGCTAATATCTGGATTTAATCTTGGCCCTACTGAAGAGAGCAGCAAAACTCCCATTGCCTTCAGTAGGGTCAGGACCTCACTCCTGGTTTGGGAAGCTGCCATCAAAGAGGGGAGCTATTATGGAAGTGTGAGGCATGGGCTGGGTTAGGACCTAACTTGACTGATTCCTGCCTTAACTTGCCTGCCTGCTACCCCCAGCCTGCCTTCCAACACAGTCCTGATGTCCATGCCAGATCGCTCCCTCTGGCCTGGGGATGCAGAGGTGCATTGAGAAAGGGTTGGCCTGGAGCTGAGAGCAACACAGCCCAGTTGGTTCAAGCAGGGAGGCAGTGTCAGCAGCAGCAGAGGCTCTTTGTGCCCTGGGGATGAGAAGTTTGTTTTCTTGAGGTGTTTCCAAGCAAGGGCCTGGAGGATGCACGTAGAAGGGGCAGGAAAAGCTTGTTTTGGGAATATAAAAGAAAACTCTTGAGACCCAGCCTGCTCAGCCCCAAAGCAGAACACAAAGGGCCTTCTCCTGAGCTCCATGTCGCCGTGGTTGTCTATCTAACAGGCAGGCAGCAGTGCAGTCAGGGGACATCCTGGGTGAAATGCTGCAGTCTGCATGATGCTCTCAGACTAGATGATTGCAGTGGTTCCCTTTGTGGTGAGACAGTTGGTGACTTTAAGTCCAGCAGCCCCGACTGTAACTAACCTGTGGACAATCACAGTGGTGCACGTGACAGCAACCTCTCTCGCATAGCCTTGCAGAGGCCACTGCATGCTGGTCTGGGGCAGCTGCACTGAAATCACTTCCAGTTGAGTTAGACTGAATAGTGTGGAGGCTCTGGAATCAGTTGTAGACCAAGCTGGAGGAAAGCGACATCGATTTAAACCGAGTTTAAATGGATTTAATGGGTTTGCTTGAAGAGGCGCATCCACCACTTTAAAGCCATTTCAAGTGAAGTTGGTGGGATCCTGTATTTAGACCAGACCTGCGGGTCAAAGCAGTATCTTAAGGGATGCAGCATTTGGTTAATTAAGGCAAAATCCTTCCCTTGGATTTTATCTTATTCAAGCACATTTCCTGACTGTTCGCATCCTATTTAAATAACTTCCTCCAATAAGTACCATCAGGGGGTGAAAACTTTATTGGGTGCCCAAAAAAGAGAAATGTGTACATACCCAGATGATATGCATGATAACGTAAGGTGTATAGCTTGCAAATACAAGGGCAGAAAAATGCCTGAGCTATACATGAACTAAAGCAACATTTGTGAATATGGTGGCAGATACCAAGGGCACTACTGGCAGAAGTGTGAGAGAGAACCGAGGGAGCAATCAACCAGACCCTAGTCACAAACTAATTGTGAGGCTGGTTTCCAACTATCAGACTATTTCTTCCCTATACAGGTACAAAGCTCTTTCTCCTATTCAGTGAGGCCAAGGAGGGCAGAGGACCATAACACTGCGTGTGGCATAGATTCATTTTCCGCTTCACCATTTGCATGCGACCTGGCCAGTATACCTGGCAAGGTGACCTGGTAGGAGGTTGCTCGATGCTAGAAGGTAGCTACTGAAACATTGAAGCAGTTGATTGATCCCACTGGCTGGCTCCCACATAGTGACACGAGGAGCCTTTCTGCATGTCACAGAAAGAAAACCTGAGAGCCGGCTCTTCTGCTGTCGAATGACTTCGACCCAATCCATGCTATGAGGTTTGGCCAGAAGAACTGCTCTGCCGGTGAAACGCTGAGCGCACTCCCTGAAAGCCCCTCTGTGGTGGCAGCACCCTCCTTTCGACAGGCGGCGTGAGGCTTCTGCTCGCTGTCTCGCGACGTATCAGCCCTTCTGCTGCCTTGCCGGGGTGCATGTCCGCGGAGCTGCCTGGAGCCACAAGAAGCACAGGGGTAGCCGTGTGCACCGGTGGGCAGGCAGTAGCCTCCAAAACGTCTGGCAGGAGGCTGAGGTGAGTACAGAAGAGGCCTCAAGGCAGCTCAGTCCCGAGGTGTGGGAATCTGTACATGATAGTGTAAGAAATGACTGCAGTGTACGTAATGGCATCTCTACGTCCTCTGAAAAAATAACTTGCTGTTTCTCCAAGCTTCCAGCTTCTCTTTGTTACCTCCCGCGTAAATGCCCTGTGGACTCGGGGTGGACACAATGAAACGACCCCTGACCAGCACCCCATTCACTTGCGCAGGACTGCCCGCGTGGACTGAGGCCGCGGCCTGAGGGTGAACGTGGTCTCGGGAACGGTGAGGTCCAAATCCGATTCTGAGACTCCTGGTGGGGCTCGGAAAGTGAAGGTCTGCAGCAGCCCTACAAAGAACAGGAACAGCTCCATCTTGGCAAGACTTTCGCCAATGCAGTTTCTGCGCCCTGCAGCATCCAAAGACATCGTTAGTTAGAGAGAGAATTGCTGGGCAAGGGAGTAGCAGGCTGATGGGTATTGCAATGTTACAGTGATGAGGTGATATTTTAGGAGCAGTAATGGCATCTCAGTATCGCTATCATTATACCCAGCTGAACTGAGGTCCAAGTGAAGCAAAATGGTCTGTGTCGGAACAAGATGATTATGTGGCTCACCCAGGTGACCCAAGCCCCCACGGGTCACCCGTGTCAACCTGACCTCCGACCCAACCACCTATGGGTGACCCAGGTGACCTGCCAGTAGCTGATCTCTCCTGTATGCGGGTTCTTTTGCTAGCCCTGCGCGTGTTGAGCAAGGAGGTGGCAGACACCTGTCAAGTTTGCTGGGTTATGAGCAGTTGAGGATGAACCCTTTCCATGGCTATGTGGTGTCATGGCTAGACACCTGCCTGATAACCATTCCCTGTAACCTGGGGCAAATCACTTCTCTTCACACCTTTCTTTTCAGCACACTGTGTGTGTCTCGACTGTTTACACTGTAGGCCCTTCAGGATAGAGGTTGCTTTTTAGTCAGGGTTTAGGCAGCATCTAATCCGATGCAGCTGTAGTTCTAGACTGAGATGTCAGAGTACTGTTGGTGGTAATAATAGCCTGCTCTTTGCCTGCTGATGTACCACCTAGCATACATCCTAGCCTTCCAGCAGCTTCAAACAAGCTCTGTCTCCAAAAAGGCAATTGTTTGATGAGTTTTTTTCTTCTAGGTTATTGCCCTGAACTAGCAGGGCACAACCCCAGCCTGCAGAGCCAGGGCGTCCAGCCGTGGGGTCTCCCCATGGCTCAGAAAATTTGGCAGTGGTGGAGCAGTGGCAATTATAACTGTCTTTCCACCCTTGCTGCCAAATTCCCAAGGTCCGTGCTGCTGGGTCAGGGCTGGGACCAGGCCATATTCCCTGTTCCTGTGCAACTGGATTGGGGCCAGGCTGACCCCCATGGGCCAGGTCAGGCACCCATCTCACATGCTGAATGGGGCCCACTAGCCACATGCAGGCTGTGGATGCACCAGGCACTGCCCATCCAGTCTGCGGGGCAACAATGTTGGGCACTACTGGCCTAAGCTGTCCCAACCAGGAGGACAGTCTGTGAAGGACAGTATCATGAGGAAATTATGGACCAACAAGAACATGGTTTCCAACATGAAAAATCAAACCTGATGTAGGTTAAAGCACCAATTTCCACACTAGAGACTCAGGGACTGGAATCACTGCTGGACTGCTGCTCTCCCAACTACCACATAAGGGAAACAGCTGTTAAGTGTTGGGTTGCAAGGCAAAATCAGAGGGATTCTGCAGGGAATTTCCCTTTAAGCTGCTTGAAGTTTCCTGCTGAGCTGGGACCTGTAAAGCTTGCAGTAAGGCTGTTCTCTCCAGCTGTGCCCTCTTATAATGCACTCTGCTGGAATAACAGCTTGCACAGCCTGGAAGCAGGTGGCTTGGGAAGTGATCCACATGTGGAGGCACTTACTGCTGTGCTGTACCACATGGCCAGACAGGTGATGCCTTTTTACTAGGGAAGACTGGAGAGGGAATTTCTCATACCTTGCAGTGGTTCTTGCCATTGGCATATAATCTGAATACTTAGGGCTTGGGAGGTTTCTTTGGCATTCTTGTAAGAGTGTGTGTGTGTGTGTGTGTGTGTGTGTGTGTGTGTGTG